AGGATGCTAACTCTGCCCTGACTAGTGTGGCTCAGTGGATTGAGCACCAGACTGCAAAACAAAGGGTCGCCGGCTCAGTTCCCAGTTGGGGGACATGCCTGGGTTGTGGTCCCCAGTGGGGGCTGCATGAGAGACAACCGACCCATTGATGTTTCTCTCCCTCTCTCTTTCTTCCTCCCTTCCCCCCTCTCTAAAAATAAATGAATAAAATCTTAAAAAAAAAAAAAAAGAGGATGCGAACTCTATCATCTCTGGCATGCATCACTTGCTCTCTCACTTGCGTTGTCCCCATTACAGTCATGACATTTGGCCCACCCTACTCATGACACCCAGCTTAAAATTTCCCCAAGCCTGAAATGGTCACAGAGACAAGTAGGTTGCTCATCAACACGTGTAAGTGAAAACACTGGTCACCTAGTTCAAGGAAGTCACAGTCAGTCTCTCCCTTTATTTTGCACGGATTCTATCCATTCAAAGATGTTATAGAGGAGATCCATGCATGTGGTGAGAAACTACATTAGATGGCATCCAAGGTCCCCTCTCATTCTGAAGTATGTTGAGTACTTCATGGGTAATGAAAGGGAGCAGGAACACAGGGTAAAATTAAATCACTCACTCTCATCACTCCTAAAGCATGAGTCCATGAGTCTATACTCAGAATATAAACTTCAATGATATTAAAATTAAAACTGAGAAACAACTAATATGAAAGGATGTAGAACAGTTAGAAGAACTGACCTTCAAATTTTTATCTCAAAATGGGGTTAGAATCCTTAAAATTAAAAAAAAAGAATAAGAATCTAAATGGCTTTCACAAAGCACTTGAAGGATTAATACGTGTCTTCTTTGATTATAGCCTGATAAAATATTATAATAAAACCCTATAATTTCTGCACCACTTATCTGACACGTTAGCCTTCTTTGAACAAACTGTTTGAGCCAAATGTATTTTTTATGCATATGTGAAGCTGAGAAATGCAAGAATTTTGATCCCAGGGTACATCAACCACATGCTCCATTAGTGAGAAATTTTTAGACTGAGCAAAGGCAAGGGTGAGTGGCGAGATGACCTTGTTCTCTGAATGGACAGCCATCTATTCTCTGGGACAAGTGGCCAAACGCTGGCCTTTAGCCTGCCTCAGTGGCTCAACCAGTATAATTATACTCCTATCATGAAACACATTTAAAAATGAATTTGCAAAACTTTTTATGTATGTTTCCACAAACAAATGCACCAAATACAATCAGTTGGACTCAGGTATCAATCATTCTAACAACTGAAGAGAAGCACAGTCATGTATTAAGTAATTCTAACAATGCCTTATTGTCCACAATAAAAAAGATGCCCCATTTTGCCAAACAAATCTTTGTAAACTTGGGTACAAGTTTAATTTAAAAAATCAACCTCATTAGGAGACAACATTTTCAAGAGGTTCATTTGGCAATTCATTTACACATTAATTTTACTTAATAATCTAGATTTTTCTGTATACATTTATTTACAGTGAGGCAATGTTCTGTGACAATTACTTTGCATACCCTAAAAACATACAGTATTTATTTGTAAAAGGAACTTAGGAAGTTTCCTTATACTGTAGATAATATTAATTTCTGATTAAAAAATCACAAGATATCATGTTGCTATAATTTGCACATATATAGTTGAGACCTTCTATGCTGTTTTGTAGAAACTGCTAAGTTAGAAAGCTACAAAACATAAAGAGGAAGACTTGTCTCATTAACAAACTGCAACCTTAAAATGCCAAAATGCAAGTTTAAAGACTTCAAACCAGCCGTTGATGGTTCTGTCATTCATCATTAATACAGCACATTTGGGCAAGATCTTTAAATTGTGTTGTTTTGCTATGTTTTTGATCAGGTGAACAGTTGTCTGTGTCCTACAAGCAATAAGCCTTCCAAAAATATAATGTTATTAATAAACACCTTGACTCTAGCTAGCTTCACATATGTCAATAAGGGTTAAAAACACACATACTAAGTATTTACGCAACATCTGAACTGAATGAGAAATGTGACTGTGGACCATTTATGAACAGTCTGGTCCAGTCTGGTCCTTCGCACTGCCTTCAAGGTCTTGGGGCCCTTTCCCCAGTCCAAGTTTCTCTTCTTTCAAATTATCATTGGTACAAGGTGTGATGACTTTCAGGCATCAATTAATATAAATTGGCAGCAGGCACAGTATTAATTAAACATGACACTCCGATTATTTAAACCTCCTATTAAAGTTGATTATTCAGAGCATGTTGATAGCCTGCTCTTCAAAAATGACTGATGATATCAAGCTTTACTGACTTCCAGCAAGTCTACTATTTCCAACTCTTTAGAACAGAAGGAATAAATGAAGTGAGAAGAACACTGAAATAAGTCTAACAGGCAAACAGACTAATCTCAGCCTCCCAAGGTCAAAGTCAAGCAATTCGTTTCTTGGCTTTCATCAACACAAGACATGATTTATCAATCTGAGAGCAGGATTACAAACATTATACATCTCAATGATATGTTCTTTGCACTGTGTAACTTTTTGAACAATGATAGATTGCAGTCGCCATAAAAGTAATCTCATAGGCAAAACCTATTAGACTTGCAAATAAAAACATTTAGATATTTAAAAGCAAATATACCCCTTAGCAATCATTACTACACACACTTCACTGGGGAGAGGGGGAATGCCATTTTAAAATTCAGGTATTCCTTAGGATTCTAACACCATGTGATCCAAGCTTTGGATTTTCATGCTCCACAAAATACTCTTCCTACTTAATATATTCATTTGTGGAGCCAGTCACCATGCTATAGAGAATTAGGAAATGCAATACTTTTCTATTATCACAACATTTCAATGATAATTACTGTGTTTTCACATAAAATATTAAATGCATCTCACAGTATTGCTACACTCATATATCCAAACTGCTCTTAGAGAAGAAAACACTGGAAGGAAGATCATGGGAACATTTTTTAATATTATAAATGGAAACAGAGTAGAATTTTTGCCTTGAATTTTGAGATTAGTGCTTTACAAGCTTTTAAGAGTAGGTGAGACTTAACAGAAGAAAGAAGTCACAAACCAGTATATTTTGATTCTATTAATCTCCCAGTTTCTCTCTCACTTGCTGTAACATTTACAGAACTTCTCCATAAGTCATGCTTGCAGCAGAAGTTCAGAAATTATTCCATCGAGTAATGTTAGGTAATCTGAAAGGTTTGCACCGAAATTAAATTATATATAAAGAGTTGCCAATTGTAATTTTGAAACCCTATTCTACATGCTATGTATTTTATATCGCACTTCCACTGATCAAAATTAATGAGTGCTTTTTCTATTCAATCACAGCTTTAGGAAAAAATGGATTGCCTCGGGGAGGAGGATACTAACGGGTGTTGTACCTGCAGCTGATGATTCATTTCACCAGCTGCCAGGAAGCTGCACATCGCCGCGCACCTGAACACTTGCACCCGTGACGGATCGGGAAACACATTCATCTTGGCACGTCACACAAGAGATGAAATTATGATCATTCTCCCTTGTAACGAAAGGTATTTTGGAGCTCTGTCTACCTACAGAATAGTACAAATTACACACCTGGCCTAGGTCCACATAATTTTACCATCTGTTCTCTATATTCAACCATAAATATTTCCCAAAGCATTCTTTGCATTTAAAAAAAATAAGATTTATTTTTGAAAGACCTGCACTGATTGTCAACGTTGCAGAGCATTGTTATTTTTAAAATTAATACATTGCATAAATTGCTCAAAATCCTGAATTTCTTTGGTTGATAAATACATTGGTACAGATTTAATCATTAGCTTCCACCGAGGGGATTTTGTGGATTTCTCGTATTCTGATTTTGAGAAAATAAATGTGTTGGGTAAGTCTTACACAAAATCTCCCATGCAAAAGAACTAACTATTTGAATATGTAGTATGAAAAAAGAAAGGTATCAGATGTGTCTTTTTTCAACTTAAGTTTTAACAGTTACTCATTATCTTGACCTAAAATCCAGATATTCTTATTTAATCTCTCCTGAGAAGTGCCTTAGTTTAAGACCTTGAAATATGATATCAAATTAAAAGTATTCTAGAAATATTTAATGAAGTTTGTAGATAATCATGATTTCCAGCAAATGAAAATATATCACCCAACATAACCAGTGATAATGATCTCAGTCTACATCAGTGTCAATAGTTACTTTTAAATTATTATAAAACTCCTATATCTTGTTTCTCCTTTAAAATACAAGTTTATTTTCTCTCTATATAGAAATCCAATGAAATCTGTGCACAAACATAGGAAAGATCGTAAAATGCATATTCAAATTTAGTACCAAAAGTTTAGAAGCTTCAACATGGGCTAAAATAATTTCCCGTATCTCTTTCAAAGAATTGCTTAGGAATTGAAGTATAGAAAACACTCTTATATGAGTAACATTTACATTGTTCCCAAAATAAGGATATAATAATAGTAACCATGAGCAGAGAATAAAAAACTGGCAGACACTAATCTAAGTACTTTATACATATTAACTCATTTCTTCAACTCAGTGAAGTAGGTGCTATTATTCTCACATTTTGGAGATGAGAGAAAATTTTTGCAATAAAAAATTGAATTAATACATCATTGTTCTTTGGTATTTGTATCTATTGAAACATTGGTATTATGAATGTGGGAAACTAAGGTTCTGTTAAGTCCATGTTAAATTGTATATAAATTTAAAATAATAGGTTGCCTAAAATACAACTTTATTCTTTTATACCTCTAGGTTATAAGTTTATTATTGAATATAGAATATACAATAAAGTTATTGATATCTAATTCATGATAAAATCAAATAAATGTTACCCACTGAAGAGAATGACAACGATGATAATTATTAAGTTGACTAGCCCACACTCAGTTCTCTGTTAAATCTCTTTTTCAACTCTATAACCTTACATTTATTCCTCATAAACATTTCAGAGCAAATATGGCTACTTACTTTTCAGGATTTTCTACTTCCTCAGTAACAAAGTTGAGATAAAACCTAAAGAGACATAAATAAGTTATAATCATTCATATATTTTATGATCATATTTCAAAGTTTCAAATTTTAAATATTTAAAATCAACCTGAGAATTATGAAAACTTTATAAATGCTTAGAGTAAGATGAAAATTTTCTACAACCAAATGCTCCCACAAATCATTTTCCTACTAAACCATAATAATGGAGTTACTTTTTAATTTTACATTTTTATAGAACTACAACAAACTAATAACGAATTACATAACCCTCAATGTCTGATGAAGAATTTTTATACATTTATACACCTGTGTCACCAACAGCAAGACCAAGAGATAGAACACGCCCGTCCCCAGGGACGGCCCCCGTCACTGCCCGCGTCCCCTGGTCTCCTGCAAAGGCCGCCACTCTCCTTCATCGCCATGGACTAAATGTTTCATTACAATAGACTGATATTGCTTGTGTAACTATTACATTATGTTCATTCTTTTGTGTCTGGCTCTTTTGATGGCCTTTGTGTTTGTGAGTTTCATCCATGCGGTTCATTATTTTCCATTGTTGCTTTTCAACCCACAAATGTAACACTGTATGGTCTATGTTGAGGCCCATTTGTATTTGATCTAATTCATGGTGACTCTGAATATAGGTCCTATAAATATGCTTCTACATGTCCTTCTGGGCACCATGCACTCATTTCTCTTGGTTATGTGCTCAGAATATGATCTCTGGGTCATAGGGTAGATGAATCTCATCCACTAACTATTTTCTACCATTCTTTGCACACCCCCATTCAACCCAAGGAAAAGATGAGACTATCGTGTCAGTCACCAAGAAAACGAAAGTGTAAAACCCACGGTCTCTGTCCTCAGGGAGCACATGGTTTATAGAGTGGTCCACAAGACAGCGTGACACACCTAGGAGACAATGCCGCAGCACACGCAGGGCACCATGGGAGACGGGTGATGTCTCCCCGAGAGTGGCAGGCCAGGGAGGGTGTCCTAGAGGAGGCATTGGCTGAGCCCTCAAAGCTGCTTAACATTTACCCTGGCGAATTGGTGTCAGCACGTCCCAGACTGAGCAGAGCACATGAGCACGGCTGTGGCGAGGCGCCGTGCGCAGGGCTATGAGTAACACCTGAGCACTCTAAACTGCGGCCCAGCGAGTGAGAACAGAATCTCAGTCCACACGACCTCTGGCTTCTGAGAGTCCAGATTCCAGTAGTGGTGACAAGCCCATCAAAACTTGTAGGGCAATAGAAGTATGACAATAGCATCACTCAGTTTTAGGGAACCAGCTTTCTAGATATAAACAGAGGGCAGGTAGGAACAGAAAATGGGATGAAAGATAAATTCTCAGTTCGTACTTCTCCCTTTCAATTCACTATTTTCCAGTGTGCATCCTATCAGGTCACAAGGCTCTGCGGTTGCTGCTTTTCTTCCTTGTATATTTAGGCAGCTAATTTTAGGCACACTGTGAGTCATTACACCATTGGTTGATAACTGAGAGAAGAACTTTCTGAGTATTTCCCAAGTCCTGAACACTTTTCTGGGTCTATTACCTGACAAGAAGCATTCTGGGCACACAACATTACACTTTCAAGTTCTATAGGACTGCAGACACTAACCCTAAAGTTATGTCCTAGAGAAATTCAGGGTCCTTTTCTTCACTTTGTGACCTACTTTTGCTATTTGGGAATGTCTACTGCATCTTCGACTTCTTCTTCCAACCTAAAGGAACTGCTGGGCACCCCTCGAAGCACTGTAGCTCTCTCTCAGGGTTCCAGGAAGAAGGACTGAGGTGGACGCCATACTCAAATATACCTGCTTAGATCGCTGGATAGTGAGGGCAGGAAAACTAAGGACTCACAATGGCAAAGCCTAAACATATCAAGACCAAGGCCTTTCTACTTCTTTATTTCATAGGCTTGGGAAATTTCCACAAAATAAAAAAAATGACATTTTCAATAGACTTCTGTTTTCTTAGTGTTCCATAGATGGTAAAATACCAATTACATAGGTTCACAAATGGGTCTGTAAGTCCGAATTCTCCACAGTCTAAAACCAAATGGCTACAATGTTATCCCATGAGCCTTCAATACACTTAAGCTTTCTTGTGACTTAAAACAACAATGAGAAAACCTGTCATATTCCATCTCTGTAAAAAAACCTCATCTGAATTAACAAGTAGGTAGTTGATGTTCATGGTTGTTCCAAAAAGACACAAGGCTCAAAATGGAGTTGCTTATGCTAAGCCTCATGTCCCCAAACCAAGACTTAATGAAGGTTTCAGCTCTCCCAGAAATGGAATCTGAAACCACGCAATCAGGATCATCTGACAAGAACTACTTGGGTCACCCGCCTGACGGACAGAAAAGTAAACCTGCAATCACTAATCTGCTTTTAATCCAGTATAACTTCCTGTTTCCACTTTCTTCAGCCTATGAAAATCTTTCAGTATGATAACTTCCTGTTTCCACTTTCTTCAGCCTATGAAAATCTTTCATTCTATACCTCTCCTCAGAGCTCCTTTCTATCTACAAGCCGGGATGCTGCCCAACTGGAACTGATATTTTGCTCAAATACACTCTTAAATGGTTATGTTTATCAATTTATCTTTTAACAAGGCTAAAGTATCAAATATTTTAAAGATGTATTGTAAGTAGAAATGTAAATCGCTGAAAAAACAGTAGTTATAAAATTTATTTTAAAAATTAGTAGCTAAAAATATTTTCCTTTTTTTTTTTCAGGTGGGGGTAGTGAGTTTATATTTTCTAATGACCAGAGTGTAGGTTTCTAAAAATCAAGGTTGTAGTTATATCAGGAACGCAAGCCGAAATCAATACTTATATCTAGAACGTGCACTCTGAGGGACTGGATGTGTTTGTTTTAAGCCTGAGGCAATGGGAAGTACCCAAAGAAAATGCAAAAAGCAAAACAAACAAACAAAAAAAGGCACACAAACCTAAAAATATTTCCTGGCTTCTCATGTCAAAAATAAGCAGTTCCTTCTTAACACTTGCTTTAGAAGCATATTTTCCAACAATGTTAAGCAAGAAAGGACATATTTATGAAAAAAAAAAAGAACACAATTCAAATATTTGCCATAGCTCCAGAGAATAGAGAAAAGGAAAAGGCTTGGGGCAGGTGGGGGGGAGAAGGGGAAAGCTTCTTATTTTGTTCCAAACACTCGCACCCGGTGGGAAATACACCTTTATGCTCCCCTCGCCTCCAGCAATGAATTCAGAGCATTCTCTCTGCTTCCCAGCTCCTCTGGGTCTCCTGAGAATGTGCACAAGACCTACTGTTCAGCTTTTCCACGGTTGTATATACAAGGCGCTGACGATGCATCCCAGTACCCAACTGTGTGAATTATTTTAAACAGAAGCGTATTCTTAGATTAGATTTGACACAATGGTACAAAATAATCCCAGCAGGTGCCTTAGAAAGACCAAATCCACTGAGGATGGAATTTAAAAGGGAGAAAAAAGACACTAAAGCCTATTTTCTATCACACAGTTTTGTTTTGTTTTTTAAATTCCCAACCACCAATATTCAGCTTTGGCTCAGGTATGGGGCTGAAATTGGTGGTGCTCCCCTGGGCCACAGAGGGAACAGGCAGATTTCTCTGCATACAGACATTGGCAAGAATATAAAACTTGTTCTGACCCTACTCTGTGACCTGGTGGGTTAATGATTCCTTTCTCCCAATCATGTTTCTGGGAAGGGGTTTTTATCATTCTAAAAAGGTTCTGCACTCCTCACAGCCAAAATCTCACTGTATTCACATCCAGGGTTTGGCAGAGCCTTGGTCCTATGCAACCCTGAGGGAGGTGACTGGGAGGGGGTTGCAGGGGCTGAGTGAGACCGCTGGGACAGCCAGGGTCCCGAGGCTTCGACTGGCACCCGCGGTGGTTCGGGACTGATGGCAGTGGCTACTCTGGCCTGCTTCCACGCCTTCCGCGGTTTTCTCTTCATCGGGCACTGCCAGGGTGGCAGCAGAGATACCACAGGCTCATTTACACTGCCCCAGTCTCCTGAATTCATCATGAAAGTCACAGAGAGGTCAGAGAGGCAGGACTGCACTTAGAAAGTGACTGAGCCCCTCTCTCCCTGTGAGCTCTTTTAGTCTCTCCCTCTTGCTCCAATTACATCCCGATAGGAACTTTCCCTCAGGAACTCCAAGCCGACGGACCACCTCTTCCAAACACAGCTTCATTTTTCTAAGACCGATGACCATGGATTAGCAACCAGGCCATTTCTACCCATCCACGGAAGCGGTGCTGAGGTAGCTCAGCAGCCTGGTATCAAAACATAGCTACCTGCCTGTCTCCTACACAGGCCCCTTGTGTCAGCTAACACCTCGCTCAGAATCCTGGCCTTAACTTTCAGGATTATGATCGAACCCTAAGAATATAAGAAGACTAACAGTTTCCTGTTCTGTAAAATAGGGAGTCAACATGGGATTCTATGAGTAAGTGTGTAAATAAAAGTTCATATAAACCCCATTTACCCTATAAAGAGCATCGAGATAAATTTTGGGGACCAGCATGGAGCTACTCCGTTCCCCCAAACCAAGACAACTCTGGGCTCTATGTTATTTCCTTGCTGCCTATTCATTTTCTATTTCCTCTTTTCCTTGTTTCTCATCCTTTCTTCAATAAAAATTTCTTGCCTTCTGCCCCAGTGGGCAGTCCTGTGGGCCCGTGAGAACTGCCCACTTCATGAAATGTTGACTCAAGGTTGTTTGTCTCACCCACATTCTCTTTTTAAATCAGTTTAACAAGACTAACATTTTGAGTTCAATATCGACAAGACTAAACAGTAAGGTAATAAGATAATTCGCAGTGGAAAGAGCCTTTATCCATAAAGAAATCTATCAGTCCGCAACAGCCTACAAGAGTGGGGACTTGCTCCACATAAAGCAGGCGACCGGAATATCCAGGAGCTGGCACTGCGAGGAGAGACACAGCAGACTGCTTTAATATTCCGTGGGAACAGAGGCATGGCGCTCAAAAGCACAAGAAAGTTCTTTCAGTAGAATTAAGCAAGTCTCCCTGGTGACAATCTCCACAGTCCACACTCCCGATTGAATATTGCCCGGCTCCCACCCTTGGCTCGAGCCGAAAGCTTCTGCCCCCTCCCCACTTCACTCCGGTCTCTCCCGGGGACCTTCCCGGCAGCTGGCAGATGCCCCAGGGCTCCAGAGTCGCAATCCAGGCTGAACAGTCACAGAGGGGCTGATTCTGCTGCGAACCCTGTGATCACAACTCCGTTCTCTTCTCTGCCCAGCAACACACTGTGCTTTGGGCAAAAACTTTTAAAAGGCTTCAAAATACTGAGGGATTCGAGACTAATGCTTACACACAATGGCTAGGAAATAATCAGGGATGTACAAATATTTCATGTTGGACTCCTTAGAGCTACAATTTGCTAACAACCTTCAGCAATTTTGATATTTAAATAATACTTTTACACCTAACAGGCTGTCCAGCTAAAGTTGCGTCAACTAAATCTTAACTAGACCGGTGACTTTCAACCAGTGAGCCCCAAGAATTGTTAAAACATTCACTACCTGCCTAGGTAGTCACGGGCACTGACATTGATTTCCCTTTGATTGTCAAGTAAAAATATGACAACACCCAACACAATAGTTATCCAGTGGGAACAATTCAAAATTATATCTGTTTTTGGTCAGACCGGCAAAAAATATGTATTTGGCTGTGCCTCAGAATTTTGGTAATTAGTTTATGTGTGTCGTGAAATGAAAAAGATTGAAAATCACTGTACTAGAGCAATAAAATTCAATTAGGAAAATCCCACTCTTCCCACAATTATTCTTAGTTAAATTTCCCAACAAAGCAAGGCGTAAATACCAAGTTCAATGCTCCAACCAGAATGGTATCACAGTTGGACTCGCCTCAAAGGTCCCCATGGTGTCGAGATTGTAACAAACTTTGCTGTGTGTATTTTGTTTTCCAACACTGAGTACACTTCGAGGAATCTGTAAGGTTCTTTGAAATGTAACAAATTATCTAGCACGACTGATTTCACTCTCTTTGTTTCTCCCTTCCTGCCTTTAAGAGCACCATTTTACCTCCTGGGAACATCTTATTTTCGTACCTGAATTCTTTCTTTCTCGTGGAAAGGTGGAGAACAATCAATCAATCCCTATGTGCAAACACCCTTGAATCTTCAGCCAAAAGGCCTTTTGACAAGCAAAGTAGCAATCTTTAATATCTCATGACACTATTATGTCCTTACTGATGCACACTTAGAAGTGATTTTTATTGGTTCTTAAGACCCAGCATTTGTTTTTTTTATAACATTGGGCTAAATCCAGTGCTCGCCTCGACTGGAAACCTCAGTCACGTTTGCACCGTTACCTGCACAGGACCTGGCCAGGTAGGGTGAGCCACGGCATCTTTTTCACTTGGAGTAACGGAAATCGCACTGGGCTACAACTATTCACATTTGCCTAGCACTTTGCCTGGCCGTGAATGAACGTACTCAGAGTTAATGGACTGGACTAAGGGATACCAACTTACCAGCCAGCATAGGCGTACATTCCATAGTAAAACGCCAGTGGCAGGCCCATAATACTCGCATCTCTTCCTGAAAAGGCATCTTTAAAGTGCTGTGTTTGCCCTGCAATGAGAAGACAAAAGATTTGGAGGGTTTTCAAAGAACTGGCTATTATTCCTTCTTCAACCACAAGCACAGGGAAGGGGCAAGACAGGGTGGGAGGGGTGGCTATAAGCTACTGTTTCAGGTCCAGATTTCACACCCTCTGTCCATTGCCATTGTTATCTTTTAATACTTGACCTGTTCTAGAGATGGAGTCTCAAAAGGTTATTGGTCACCCCTCACACTACTTCACACTTCTCTTTTAATATAATTACAGCAAAGAGGAAAATGACATTTTAAAAAAATCTTCCTGTTTGAGTGTGCCTCTATTCTTGACAGAGCTCAACCACAAATGAAGACCAAGGATCTTTGGTAACCCTACTCTAATAGGTAGGTGTATGATAGAATTCTCTCAAAAGATAATACTGCAGAATGCTTGGCAAGAAGTATCCATGGGTCTGTGCTTAAGGAGGAGGTGGAGAGAGAGCCCAGAATCGCCCTCTCACATCATTTAACCTTCTGCTTTTCCTCTGTAGTTCATTAGACACCAACAGGAGGGGCTGGAAAACCTTGCACCTACATCTGCTCCACCCCACCCCACCCCCGGCTTCTTTGGTGAAGGAGTTGCACTGGAGTGCAGCCGGGTCCTCTAGTTTGGGTGTTATGACGGACACTATCAGTCTACGGCGGTGTCACCCTAACACAGTAAGGTATGGTAGTTGTGACAGGGACCACAGGCCCTGTACAGTGAAAGTCCGGGAATGCTGTTCTAGAGAATGGCTTGGGCCCCTTCTAGAAACACTGAAAAGGAAATATACTGAATTCTAAAACAGATACATTGTAAACACATTTTGCATTGATGTGTGCCTTGAACACTTTCAATAATCACACTTTTCTTTACTTTATGAATCATGATGGGCCCCTTTCTTGTGTATCTTTTACATCATTACCAGAAAACAAAAATTAAGATTTAATCAGCCAGTATTAGAAACTAAGCATATAAAAGTTTCTCTCCTGAAGAAAACAGCCAACGGGAAAACACCCAAATAGGAACTGGGCCATTACTTTAATGTTGGTCTTCACACAAGTAGATTACAGGCAGTGGCTGATGTGTAAGACCTTCTCCCTTCACTCAAACCTCTGCTGCCGCCTTGGTTGCCCAGCAACAACATCTATGTCAATATGATGTATGTGAGTTTGGAGACCAAAAGTAGCGGCTGTTGAGTTATACGCTAAACGATTTTTCCCTGGAAGTATTAGATTCCCTAATGTAGCTCAATTTTTAAAATTATACAGTGAATTCGGAAATGGCTGTATCACTAAACATCTCTGTGTCCTCATAAAAGGGAACTAAAAATGCTGGAACTCGGAGAAAAACATCTGGTGTGTGGTTTTATGGTGATCTGGGCTCTACTTGACCTAAAGAGGCAATATTTCTAATGGTGCAGTACTGACTAATGAATCAGAGAAACCAAACTTGATAAAGATCAGGTCCCAAAGCAAATATCCTGAAAAGTGCCATTTTGAGATGATTACAAAAGAGAGGCATTTCTGAACTTGAGGGATATTTTGGCTGCATAACAGAGGTCATAGGAAGATGGTCGTGATACTTCAGAAGTTCCACAAATCGTCATCAGTAAATAGAGCATGGAACTATTTTTAGGATCTGAGATCTGATTGGAATAGAAATAAATGCACCATCTATACCAGTAAAAATTATTCTCTTCCTTGAATTTCAAATTAATATGAGAAATACGTGATTGAGTTAGAGATCAAGAAAATCGCCGTTTTATAGTAACAGAGCAAACATACCTGCTAAGAATGCTCTCCAAAATGCTAACGCTAACTTTAAATGTGGGAATACTCTCAAGGCGTTCTCAGATTTGATATATGAGGAAGCCTGGTCCTGGTAAGCATTGACATCCTAAGGTTTAATTAAAACATCATTCTACCTGGCTGGTGTAGCTCAGTGGATTGAGTGCGGGCCTGCAAACCAAACAACTGCAGTTCTATTCCCAGTCAGGGCACATGCCTGGGTTGCAGGCCAGTTCCCAGCAGGGAACACATGAGAGGCAACCATACATTGATGTTTCTCTCCCTCTCTCCTTCCCTTCCCCTCTAAAGATAAATAAATAAAATCTTAAAAAAAAAAAAAAAAAAAGAACATCATTCTAGTGCAAAGTGCAGAAAAAAATCCAAAATACATGCCATGACTTCCACTCTCAAGGAACTTGCGGTACAGTAAGTAATACCTGGGTGGCTTCCTCTCACTTCCCAGACATATGCAAGTAAGCGGTTAAAAACTGACTCCAGGTTTACAGTCCACCAAAGAGATAAAGAAAGAAAATCGCCTTAGTGGTCAACGGTGAGACATCATCGTTTGGAACCTAAACGAGAACTCAAGGAGGGTCAGTGACCCAGAGTTTCTGCCCTTTCCAAAAATGGAGGACAGTCCGCACAGAGGACGAAAGAGTTAGCCCAGGAAAAGAAAGCACTCGCAAAACAGATTATTTTTCCCTACATTCCTCCTGGATCAGATAAAATATGAACAGGCTGGCTCTGTGGAGGCCACGTGAATGAGAAGAGCTGGCTCATGGCTTCTCTTTATTGTGTTTATTCTGCGTTGGCCACAGTGGCTGCGTCTGATGGAAACAGTTGGCCGGGAGAGCGCCGAGATCTCCCGTTGGGCTCGTTAAATGGGCAACAGTAACTCCCTTCCCTCAGCCGGAGGGGGCGGGGTGGGGGGGAATGGCCCTTTCCTCATTCATTCTTGTTTAATGTCACTACCATTTTGCAGAATTTTGGCATTTCCTTTTGTCCTGTGTAATTCTTCTACAACTTTATTAAATTTCTCAAAAACTTCCTTGCTTGGAACTGACAATGCCCATGTAAACATTAAACACTTAACATGCCCAAGTTATGAGTCACCCCTGCATCTCGCTGCCCTATTTATTTCCTGCTCTCATGCCCCTTGCTCATTAATGAATTCACCCGGACTTTATTTCTTTTCCAACAGTTTCCACGGAATCCAGGCTACTGATGTGCAGCCTTCCCGAAAGCCACCCAAATCCTAAATGACATCACCTCCTCAACCATCTCATTTTTCTTTCTGAACAGTCAACTCCATTAAGCAAGTCCTCCCAGAAGATGGTAGAAGTGCGGAGTTTACATGAAAATCATGTCGCAATAAAAACTAAGCCTTCGCAATGACTTTTGTCATATAATATTTGGTTTTCGGGAATGCTACGCCCCTATCTGACTCCTCTCCCAACCAGACTCCATTCTCAGAGTAAAAGGAACAGTAACCATAAAGACTATGGTTATTATAGTAACCAAAAGGCACAGTAACCATAAAGGGAAAGGACAGTTGATCACCTCTCACTATTTTCCAGATATCTTTAATCTTCATTTCGATCAATGAACTATTTTAAAGTTAAAAACAAGAAGACATATGTATCAGTAGTTTAACAACAGGGTTTTGTTTTTTTTTTTTCACTTGGAGTTTTCGCTTCAAACAGTTTAAACCAAGACCGAATTCACTGAGGCCGTATTTTGTTGCCTGGCCCAGTCTCAACGCTCTCATTACCATTTAGCTCCAAATGCCAGCTCATCCTCAGCATAGCGGCATTTCAGACCATCAGACGACAGTATGGAGGCTAAGTTCTACAAGCAGGAACTAATTAAGGGATGCGGCTAGCTCAAGCAAATGCGTGTGCTTCTAGAGACCCAAAGCAGACACGTGCTTTAACAAGCATTTACATTTCGGTCCATACCTTTGATTAGCTGCATGACTCCAGGGACTATAATGATCAGGATCGCTATGAGCTTGCAAAAGGTTAGGAAGATTTGAATCCGGGCACTCCAGCTGACGCTCGTGCTATTGAGGACCATCACTACAGCTGGAAAAAAAACAAACAGATTAAGTAACAAAAGGAGAATCCTCATTGGCATGAAATATATCATGTGTCCCGACCATCCATGAACCGAGTGGTGTTGGTGTGACCTGGAAGCATTTTGGAAATGCAGAGACTCGAGTACCGCCCCAGACTTAAGGAGTACAACGACTCTGCATTTCAACAAGATCTGCAGGTGATTTTATGCACATTCACGTTTCAAAAGAGTTTCGATTAAGGACCTCTAGACAGTGAGAAGTCATCTCTTACTCTTTTCTGACATACGAGTGAACATATATTGCACTGCCTTCATGATTATATAAAATTATCTTCTAAGCAAATCCCAAAGTCCTCACAGCACGCAGTCAAATGGCTGACTGTGACTTCAGCAGGACACAGCAGCTGCTGCCCCCTCCCTCCAGAATTGTAAGTGTGCAGAGTCACCTCCCAGTGAGAGTCACACTCAGTCACACTCAGTAAGATGTCAAGAACTTGGCTGGGACCTTGTGCTTGACTCACAGGACTAGCCTTAGCCAGCACCTTTAGTTTTCCTCTTCACTTTCCAATTAGCATGTCAATGAGTGCCTTTCAGCCTACCCTAAATGAAGAGGCTTCCAAGGCATGTTTTGGGACTTGGGGGAAAAAAAACACTAAGTGATGAGTCTAAAAGAGTGTGCAGGCTAGGATGAACACTGGGTCTGAAGCCAGAATTTCCCTTTCTGAAAGACACTGACTGCAGTTTCCCGAGCATCACTCGGCTACCCACTCTCTGGGGCCAGGCCGTGGACCATGGGAAACTCCAGGACGGAACAAGCAGCATTCTGCTCAGTATTGCTAGTATCCAGCCTCAGGCCTGGCGCAGGAAGGGAGTCAACACAGTTTTGTCGAATGAATGAATGAGCTGGATACTCAGTTAAAAAAAAGCACTACTTCAGCCAAAAAGACATGAAATGACTGGTGATACTTTAAGATGCTGCCCCCTATACTCTGCTGGCATGACTGAGGCCATTCTTGACATCGGATTTCAACTTCAGGCTCTTTACAAAACCTTACGCTTAGTGTTACTCACATCCTTCCCCCCCCCCCCCCCCGCCTAAAAAGCTGCTCCTACAGTTATTGTCTATAAGCTTTATTTTTAAAAGGTATATTCCCCCATCTCCAAGGCTAAAAAATCAAAACAGAATTGTTATATTTCAAGTTGCAAAAGGAAGGTTTTCTTACGCACAGCAATAAGTTGTCGTCATACTTTCCACGGTTTCACATAATCATCAACTCATTTCAGAATTTAAGATTCAGTACAAATGTTGTGAATAACCTAAAGGAAGGCTAACTAAGGTACATCTTTTTAATGGTTTACTATGCGGCCACTTAAAATCATGACGCGGGTAAATACTTACCACATGAAAGAGTGTTCGTGATATAACAGTGACTAGTACAGCAAGTGACAGCAACGGATAGATAGATAGACAGGTAGACACACACAAGACAGAAAGAAAATTTTAAAAATCTAAAAACTATTAACAGAAGGTATCTGTAGATCAGGGGTATCAGACTCATTTTCACCAGGGGCCACATCAGCCTCACAGTTGCCTTCAAAGGGCCGAATGTAATTTAGGACTGTAGAAATGTCACGACTCCTTAACAGTTAAGCGAGAGCTCAGTGCTGCCGCTGGGCGGGGTCAAACAAGGTGGAGGGCAGGGTTTGGCCTGTGGGCCTTGTGCTTGCCACCTGTGCTCCACATGATAGAACACTAAATAATTTTTAAGTTTTCTTATTCACTTTTCAGCATTACTTTTACGATTTTATTTATAATAAACATGCAGCCTTTTAAGTGCAAAAGTATAAAATAAATTTTTTATTTTCCTAAAAATTTGAAGACGGAAAAAAAATAGGGACTCCGTAGATCCCACACAAAGTGAACTAGGGGTTTACTCATGAAGACAAGCTTCAAAGGGGTAACGACGAGAATGACCAGGAGGGAGGGGGCCTGGATAAGCTCCATGGGAGGTTAAGGGGACATTTTTTCCACATTTGAAGCTGCAAACATGAAGAAACAGACAGGCCCATTCTGAATAACGCAGTGCATTATTTTATCAAAGGCAGGATTAAAAGTCAAATTATTTCTTTCTCCCCAGGATAAAGCACTTACATATCGAACAAACTATAGTGCCACCTTACTCTCCTCATGATCATCCAGTGGCTTCTTTTCCTGTCTCTATGCAAAGGACTCGGGATAAATGAGGCATCATATGAAGATTATTTTCTCAGTTAAGGAGATTCAGCATTGGCTGGGAAAAATCAAACTCATGTTCCTACCACCAACGAAAGATCACTGTTTTCTTTTGAATGGAGCTCCTAAAACCAAAACACTCTCTTTCTGAAAGTACTTCACACTAGAACTGTTACATAGGGAGGAAGGGAGAAAAAGGAAGGGAGAAAAAGAAAGGGAAAGAAAAAAAGGAAAAGAAAAAGGAAGGGAGGAGGAGAAAGAGAAAGAGGCATTCTTATTTCTGGAACCGCTAACTATATTTAAGAAGAGGAAAGAGGGTTTGTTACTTTCATAAAGAGTGTGAGTACTTAGCACCTACTGAAAAAGAGAAAAGGTATGCAGGATTTTCTTTCATATTTTGTTAAGTCTTCTTAAAAAAATAGAGGAACAATTCCACTGCTAGGATTATATCCTAAGAATCCTAAAACATCAATATCAAAGAACCTATGCACCACAATGTTCATAGCAGCACAATTTACAATAGCCAAGAGTTGGAAGCAACCTAGGTGCCCATCAGTAAATGAATGGATCAAAAAATTGTGGTACATATACACAATGGAATTCTATGCAGCAGAGAGAAAGAAGGAGCTACTACCCTTTGCAACAACATGGATGGAACTGGAAAGCATTATGCTGAGTCAAATAGGCCAGGTGTTGAAAGACAAATACCATATGATCTCACCTTTAACAGGAAGCTAAACAACAAAACAAACAAGCAAGCAGAAAAAAAAAAAAAACAAAGACACTGAAACAGAGAACAAGGGAACAGCGACCAGAGGGGAGAGGGAAGTTAAGGGGAAAAAGGGGGAGGGATTTGGAGGAACAAATAGGAAGGACACAGGGACGAGAACTAAGGGGGGTGGAAATGGGAGGGAGGTGGGGAGCAAGGGGCAGGGGAGGCTGGGATGGGAGAAATAGACAAAAAAACTGTACTTGAAAAATAACTAAATAAAATTTTTTAAAAAATAGAAGACAAAACAAAAGAAATATCATGAATCGATCATCTCCCCTTGCTTTGCTCTCAGATGCTAAAACAAAAATTCTGGTGAAGACTGATCTCTCTCAAAGGTTTCTCAAGACTCTACTTTATCTGACTAACCAGACGCCGCACTCATTATGTGGCACACGAAATTCCAGCCGAGGTGCATCTCTGAGGCCCCGAGGGGCACAGCTGAACAAGGGACAAAAAGCACGGGGGCAGAGTCCCCACAAAGGTCCTCAGGTGGCTGGAACCGCTGGGGTGTCATCTTCACAGAGAAATTTAAGTCTACGGATGCTGCTTACCCAACAACATTGAGAAGGGTTTTGGGACTCACTAAATGGAAGAGTTCTCTGAGTCTCTAAAACAAATAACATTTACTTTGTTTTTTATACACTATCTACCCATAAAGGAATAATTTAAAAAACCTGAGTAAGCTCTCTAGTCCTAGTGTTACTTTCTTTGACGAACATTGCTAATTTCACACAGGAAGAACTTTTTTAAATCAATCTGGGATGGTGATGATGTTTATGATAATGACAACAACCATATTTTTATTTTGCTGATCTTAAATGTTACCCAAATGAAAATACGGGAGCACAGAGTTTTTGTCACTCATTTATGACGCAGTTGCCTAAGAAATGAAATGCATCCAGGAAAGCCATATGTACAAATCCTGGAGACAAGAAATACACGTCTGAAGGGAGCTGCCTCTGAAGGGGGTGGTCGGGGGCATGTTACGGGCTGACTCTGTGATTTAAGGAGTGGCAAGGATGTCTTGCTGCAATCCTGTAATGCAAGTCTGCTTTTGCTCTTGCAGCCTGAGACAACTGAGCCTGGATATGCTGGGTTTTCCCCCAGGTTCAGGTTCTACATCGGCTTCTGACTTCTGACTGCTTTGTGCTACACCGAACGCTGTATGGATGCTACATGGGTGAGCCAGTGTGGGCTGTTCCGCTGTTTTTGCTAACAGCTGCCTGAGCTGCCTTTATCTCCTCCTTAGTATTTATTTTTTGGATGCATTGATTTCAGAGAAGATGTGCAGCAATGAAAAGAGAGTCTATACTCAGGATGTCACTATTGGGGATAAAAATGGAAAGCATTAAATGAATGTGAGGGCGAATGCACAGAAACTTCATTTTTTTAATATGACCTTTTTTTCTCTTTTCTTGGATTCAAACTGGCCTCACCCAGCACCCTGACTCACCTGCCTCCTCCTTCTCCCCTGCACACCCTCTCCCTTCATCCCTAAGTTCTCAGGACAATGAGATTCTCATCAGCATCAAATAACCTTAAGAACAAAGGCTCTGGACTATTGACCCCAGAGACGGAGTTTCAGCCAAACTAGAGATAACTTCTAGGCTCAGATGTGTTTCAGCTGCAGGCCCAGAAAGCAGCAAAACCAGACAAAGCCATGCCATGGCTGACATCAGGCCCAGCTGCAATGGCCAATGACCCTCGACCCTGGTGCTGGCCCATCAGTAGAAACAATGACACTGACCATGACCCTAACTCCCTGGGTCACCATGGTTAACAATCTTTCCCCTATGAAACTAGTCCCCTGGAAGCTACTGGGGAGCACGGTCTTGGAGCATGACCTCACCTGTGACTCCAGGCATGGGTGCTTCCCAAAAACGAACGCTCCCTTTCTCCGGGCTAACTCCTATTATATGTGTCTTATGGGGCTCTGATGCATGCAGGCAAGTGAACCCCTTTAGCCCAGTAACAAATGTAAACTATTATTATATAGTGGACACTGTGCACAGATGTTCCAAGGATACTGCTACTTAACGTTCATATCTCTAAGACATGGTTACCATCACTGGCCTTATTTTTCAGATGAGACTCAGGACATTAATTACCATGCCTATGGTGACTCGGGCGAATGTGAGAGAGGGTTAGAGTCCAGTAGGCTGACTCCAGTGGTTCCCAGGTAACAAGGAGGAAGTAACTCACAAGACCTGTGATCTCACTCCTACTCCTGGTTCTCCCAGACTCCCGGGTGGCTCCTCCTCTCTGCTAAGATTCATGTATGTCTTGGCTGGGATTTCGGGACACTAGGATGCCACAATTTATTTGTCATTCTCTTAAAGAAAATGGTGGATGTCTGCAGGACTTGTGTATTTCCATATTATGCATACCTGCCCAAGAACTGGCTGTCTTGGTAATTTGGTTGTGGTAGAAAAGGACTAAGTCTAGCCAGACTTCCGAAGAAGCAGCAAAGCCACTCCGCATGCTATATTTGAAATGCTAGCACAAAGCTAGATTTCCTCTCATGAAAGTTACTGATGCCAGGAAATACAGTCTCAGGAAAAAAATTACAGTAACACATTTGTAGAACAGGCTAATTTTTTTTCTCACCATGCAATCACGTTATCCTGCTTGCTCCCCCTAATTATTCCAACAGGTATGAGAAGCTGGGCAGGGCTGTCTACTGACCCACATAAATTAAACTCTTACAGACTCAGAGAGGTTGTGAGAGATGGATCTGAGACTGGCTCTCACATTTTGAGACAATATTTTTTATGAGGGTTTCATTTCAGGGGACCAGAGCAACAGACAAAATGTCACTGTAAATAACATGTACTTCAGTGCTTCTTGAAACTACAAAAACAGTGAGAATTCCTGGAGTTCTGTAGGAGGTCAGAGAAGTACAGTCAGTGGTGGGCTGGAGAGGAGTGGCAAACGCGAGTGTGAGGTTTCCCAGTCACACGTCCGTGCGCCTCCATGTTCAACACGATGGAGAGGTCTGTGGACAAGCACAGCTTCTTGTCTTTGTTAACTGGACAGAAGTGGAGTCCAGATGCTCTTGGACTTACAATGGGAGTAGGTTTGGATAAACCCATTCTTACGATGAAAATATTCCGAGTCGAAAATGCATTTTATACACCTAGCCTACTGAATACTGTAGCTTAGCCAGGTCTACTTTGAATGTGCTAAGAACACAATGAAAAAGCAAGCAAGCAAACAAACACACCAACAAAAAACCCTGGCAACACAGTCCATGGTAGAGTTGGGGGTGTGGACCCTGAGGACCAGGTTTGGTGGCTGGGCCTGCTGCCACTGTCCAGCATCATGAGAGAGAATCTGACCATTTATCACTGTAGCCTGGGAAAAATAAAGCCAAAACATGAAGTTTGGTCTCTACAGAATGCATATTGCTATCACATCCTCATAAAGACCAAAAATCAAAAGTGGAACCATGGTGAGTGGGCATGTCTATACTTTTTCAAGGGGAAGGGGACCGTGAGGAGTAAAATGAGCATTTAGGACCTTTCCACTCCACCCCCACTCTCATTTCCCAAATGGTTGGCTAACACTTCGAAAACACTTGAAACTCCTTTTTCTCTGTGATTTGATTACAACACGGCTCTTCTGTACTAGAAAGAGATTTCAAACCTCCACACACTATTTCCTTCTCTGGGAAACATAAGGAAGTAGTTCACAGGATTAAACTCAGCTTGCTACATCTCACTAAACTCCACCCCAGCAGACAGAAAGACACCTATCCTCCTGCCATGAATAATGCAGATGGGGAGAAATCTGCCCCCAGGTAAATCCCTCCTTCTCTAGCCTGTCTCCACTTCCTGTTGCTCATTAAAGCTAAGACAGCTTCACTTCCCCATTAGACCATTGATTTACGTTACCTCTCACTGAGTCATAACAATATCTAGCTTTCTGTTTTAGTGCTTCTGATTTAGGAACATATTTCGTCACAATTTCAAAGTTGCAAAAGGAACACGAGATTCTACAAACGAGTGTTATAACTAATGGCAGAAATAGACAGAAATGTCTAGCTTCAGCCAAGGTTTACTCAGCCTCTTGGTTAAATAACTATTCTATCACCAATCTCTACTACAGAAAGAAGTTTTATAAACCACAACATACTTAGTTATCCTCATCTATAATTGCTTTAAAATTTTGATTTGAATGGTTACCATTTACTCCCCTAAAATTCAAGTTTTTCCTTAAAAAAGTTTAAGAAAATTTGGATTTCTAAGACAATGATTATCGAGACTTACTAAAATAGTAATGTGTTATTGTTATCCATCTTATTTGAAGGCTGAAGTGGGAAATATTTGTGGGTCTGTATATGTTCACATAGAATGTACTTGAAGTTTGCTAGATATGGCTTTTCATTAGTAACTTCTACTGACAATTACAGAGCTCTCAGAAATGCTATTCCTATTTTTCCCTTTTCAGATATTGTGATATGATTCTGCCTCAGTCAATCTAGGGACAAGAGTATAATGGGCACAACATTGGCTGTTAGTCTGTTCCTTAGTGGAACACCAGATGTATCAAGAATTTTCTCTGGGAAATTCTGCTAAAGCCCTTAAAATCTGACATAGTTTCATCTTTCTACAGCCATTCAAGACAAATTACCTTTGTACAGTTTTTTTTTTTCCGTTAAACAAAACCAACATTTGAAGTGGTTTAATATTTAGCCCAAATCATACTCCTAAAAAGAAATGTCACACGAGGTTTCCATCCCAGGTCGCCTCCGCCCAGAACCTGCACTGGAAGCATCCTACCTCAGCTTGTGTAATTCCCACTGACCACTTGCTCACCGGTCTGCCGCCAGTGGTGCCCCGATCCTTCCCTTCACTGTTCTGCCACAATGCCTTCCTACACATAACTGGAAGTTTTATGAGTATGGAATTCAGTTATTTCTGTGTAGCTTTCTATTTCCGAGTAATTGAAACTTAATCAAATGTTGATTCTTAAAACAGTGATTCAATTAGCATCTAGAATTATGTTATCATTTCCAGTAATTGTCAAGGGTTTGAAAGCTACACTCGTCTCAGAAGGTAGCTCTTTATGTAGCTATAAAGCTATATTTGGAGCTTTATATCACTTATGTAATGTTGTGTATAATTCTCTTTTTTCATTTCTTTTCAAAAGATTTTCTGTGCCCATTGATAAAAATGAGCAACTTACGAATTTGGAGACCATAAAGAAAGCTCCTAGTTGAGAAATGCTACTAATAATCAAATACAGACCAGAGACTCATCACAACCATCAGTGGGCCACTGAACCCATAACACAGAGAGCGACGGCTGCCAACCCTGTAGAATGAATGAGTGCCACACGTACACCCAACACGTAAACTTCACTCCGTGAGGCTAAATGAGTTCTAATTCAGCATGTTATCGCTGAGGAGGGAGAACTTCGAATATCTAAAATGCATCAAATAACTGGGTTTTCGTCTGTCATTGTCTTCTTTACATACAGTCCAATTTCTATTTTATTGGCACGTTGTTTTTGTTTGCCTGGTTTAAAAGATTAGCCAGTGGCATGGAAACTGGCATGGAAAGCAATATCAGGGACCACTCCATATACTTAATCATTTCATTATTTTCCAACACAAATTTGGCAAGAAACTAGAAGCAAAAAGAACAACGATGCAGGAAGCAGGCCTCACCATGGAAACTGTCTGAAGAAATGTGTCTCCAATGACTTTTGTGGGGTTTTAAAACATATTTATAGCTATCATACTCACTGATGCCCACAGCGGTAATGAGCTTGATTGCCAGTTCAGGAATTTCACATTGAATAAAAAACGGCTCCAGAATGTAGCGTCCGAAGGCCAGAGATATCACAGCCGTGGCTGCAGGGCTAGAAAACACATACATGTAGGTTACTAACAAAAAATACTATCTTCACCAGACTTTTTCTACCAGGAGGGATTTTTTTTTTTATTCAGTGTATGGCACCCATTAAATAGGAGAATATAGTTTCCAGGACTTCACATACATTTCAGATGAAATATCGTCTATAACCTTGGTAGATAGTTTTTAAACTTCACATTCGCTTGGGAGCAAGTTTGGGTGTCATCAACTTTGCCTCCCATGGCTGCCTGTTCCGCCCTTGACAGTCTAGTTTATTACTTGAGATCCAGACAGTGGTGAGCTCCAGAAGAAGCCATCTTCGTTCTCAGGACATCAACAGGTAAACCCCAGCCCCAAGAAGCGGTGCTAATAGAGCAAATGGAATGGGTTGGGGTCTGGCAAGGAGAAATGAATGCAAAACTCAACCAAAAAACTAGTGTTTACTGCAGATATAGGCTTATACCCTTGATACTGTATTATCATTATTTTTCCAGTACAGATGAACCCTTGAAGAACCAAGTGGTTACTCTTAATTCCACAGAAATATTTAGATGCAAAGTATAAGCTGAAAAATAGGAGCACTCTTGTAATTTAACACAAGTGAGAAAATATATGTGAAATCAGAAAATGAAATAAGTTCAGGTATAGAGCAAAACAGGGAACAAACCATTCTCCTTTAAGTCTTCAAATATTTCTGAGAAAATTATACATCTTTTCAGTTTCAATGCATGTGTATATGAATGCATATTCTTTGGATATGCGGCTTTGGATAAGCCCCTGGGATGATCTAACGCCCCAGATAATCTTCCTTTCCAGCTTCCCGCCCTTCTCACAGGTATCCCACACCCACGCCCAGGCCCTGGAATGTCAGGAGACCAACCACCTGTACGCGTTCCAACCTGGGCCTGCTGGCACCACACAGCTCTGTACACTTTGTTAGACATTCTTCTTTTCCCAGAGACCCTCTCCTCTTCCAAAACAGGACTATTTTTCCCCACCATTTATAAATCTTCTGATGTGTAAAATAAACTCTGATCATGTCATTTTAGTGCCTTCAGAACAAGCTCATGATGTGCGAAAATCCTTCAATGGCAGGCTCCACCCACTCTACACTTTCCCTTGCTTTTCCTCACCAGGAAGATCTTATCCTTCACCTGGAGCTCATGTGACTCACAGACAGCTTTTTTCTGCCTCGGATCTTAGTTCAATCTTCCTTTCCCCCAGAAAGCTTCTCCAGCCCCCTGACCGTGTGAGAGCCCCCAGGGGAGACGCTCTCAGTGAACCGTGGCTTCCTTTTCATGGTGCTGATCACAGTAGTGACCTTCTGTGCCATATGCGATTTCTTCATGGATGCCCACCTCCCTCACTGGACCCGGAGCTCCACCAGCATGAGACTGCGTCCCTCTAATCACTGTTTGACCCCCCAGTGTTCAGTCTGTCATGTAGTAGAAACCCAATCAATAGTGACTACATGGTGATTGTACGAATTCAATCCAATGGCTCCTGTTTTGTGCTACTATGCTATTTTTTTCCTTGAAATCTATGTTTTAGAGATGATGGCTTACAAAAGTGACTTTATCTGAAGTACCATTTTAGTATTAAATACTTAAACACCACGTCTATCATTGACAGAAGAGAAGTGTTAATAAAGTATCTAGATATTTTATCACTGCTCAAGTCATTCATTACTCTGTTTGAAAGACCAATTGCACAAAGTGAGCCATTATTATAAAGGAATTATATAAACCCATTTAAAAACCTTCTAAAGAACAAACTGACAGTGACCGGAGGGGAGGGGAGTGATAATGGGAGACAGAGGGACAGGGTCAAGTCAAGGAACATGTATAAAGGACCCATGGACAAAGACAATGGGGAGGGGAGGATTAAATGTGGGATGGGGAGTGGGTAGGGCAGGGGAGAGTAGTGGGGAAAAACAGGGACAACTGTAACTGAACAACAATTTTAAAAAGCTTCTAGAGTACATCTGGGCAATTTCCTCTACCAATACACACACACACACACACACACACGCACACCATGAATTAGCTCTACTATAATTAAAGTAACATTTGATTATGAGCTCCTTCAGAAGAGGAATTATGACTCAGTTCACTTTAGATCTCTTCCACTTGCGTGTCCCGAGTCAGGAGCAGTTTGAGGGATGAACACATTACTGAATGAGCACTCTACCTGTGCTACTGCAAACGAATGACCATGCTCATCACAGTGCCAAGCAATCAGCCAAGGCCATCCAACCAACACAGGGGTTCAAGTCCAGTTCTTTCAGGCTCCAAAGCCCACCATCCAGACAGCCCCACACTTTAAGTAATGGGCTTATTTGAATGCTGAGTATTTGAGTCAAAATCTTATAACCTTAAACTTTCAGTCACATTTGAAATAATCTAATGTCTAAGGTACTTGGGGCACTGAATTAAGCAGTAGAAGGTTACAAAAAGTGTGTGACCTGGTCTTGTGTGCCTGATATGACGGCAGTTCAAACAGGGATCGAGAACACAGACACCCAAAATGCTAGGTAAGAATACAAGACAGCGTGTTCATGTCAAATGAGAAGCAGAGACTGCACCTTTCAGGAGAAACAGAGAGGAAAGAAATACCTTAAACTAGGGCAAACAGGAAATTAACTGTGGAAGAGATGGAATTTCAGCTGACCTTTAAAGGGTAAGATTCAGATCATCAGAAAAGAGTAGAAGGCATGTCCTGGAAAATCCCATGTTTTAGAGAAGGAACAAAATACTTCTTTATCATTATTTCCTTGTAATAAGTTTTAAATAATGCAGAACTATTTATAATGAGAACAGACCTAACAAAGAAGTAAACACTACTCCAAGATCTTGGTTAAAAAAGAGACTCCTGGGACAATAAAAATCAAGATTAGTGTTAATCTGATTCTTATTAGAGCTCAGTCTTTGCCACCTCGCCACAAATGACGGGATAAAAGCTCACATGAGTGCTCAGCTGTGTATTTCCCGCACATTTACACAAAGAACAAGTTTTCCTAGTTACCTCTGTTAAACTCTGTAATCACGCAGTGCAGGTCATGTTTTCCAAAAGCAAGTAAACCTAAGGAACTGTGCTGCTCTAAATGTCTCACAAATGACATCACAAGTTTCCCATGAAGCAGACGGGAACTTGCTATTCACAGTGACTTAGCACAATAGGGTTTGATTCTTCATTGCTGCAACAATAAAATCAAAAAACATTTCCGCAACTGTAGGACACTGATTTGTTTAATGTGAGGAAGTGAGTCATTTATGTCGAGTAAAGTCTTACTTTTTTTTTTAAGTAACAAACTTGCCAACACACTAACTTGTGAAGCACAGAAGTCTCCTAGTCATGAAAACAGAGTACAGTTAAATGTCTTAGGGATGAGATGTACAAGAATAAAAATCCCAGCTCTCAGCAGAGCGCTTCACTTTGACCAGTCAAAGGATATGGTTTATCAGGGTGGATTTTGATGCTTCATGTCCTTGCAGGTTAATTTCTTTCCTGGAAATGTCATCAGGAATACTTGAAGATTAAAGGAAAGCAGCTACTAAAACATTTGGCACGGTCAGCAGACTACTGCCCATGGCAAAACTGCATTGAAAACATTAGTTGAGAAAGTATTTCATCACAGACTCTGTGTCCTAAGCTATTTTAATTAATTTACTTATTTTTTAAAAGGCTCTCAAATTTTTTAAAAACATTTTATTTATTTACTTTTAGGGAGAGGGGAAGGGAGGGAGAAAGAAAGGGAGAGAAACATCGCTGTGTGAGAGATACCCACATTCCCCCAGCTGGTGACCTGGCCCACCACCCAGTCATGTGCCCTGACTAGGAATTGAAATGACAGCCTTTTGGTTTGCAGGCTGGCACTCAGTTCACTGAGCCAGACCATCCAGGGTAATTAGTTTAAAATAATCATGGTAATTCAAAGAAGGGTGTAATGAATAGGTTTATTTTTCTTAATTTTTTCCTATTTATGCACTTACCGGATTATGAGCAGTTCCACCCAGACTCTTACAAAAGCTGGTAATGGGCCGAAGACTTCCAGAATATATGTGTAATGACCACCAGATTTCTTTATGCTGGTTCCCAGTTCAGCATAGGACATGGCTCCTATGAAATATTTATAATAAAAAGGTGCAAGGATAAATACCACCAAGTCATCCAGCAGTCGATTAATACAGCATTGTTTCTATTGCATGGTACATTACTACATCTTTTGGTCTGAATGACATCCTTATTTTAAGACAAATAACGGTCATCTAATCGCTAAAGAGCCACCAAATTCCTCACGTAGTTTCCTTAAATTCGAGATCCAGTCCATTCCATTTAAACTATGTAAGTTTACTCAACATGGTAATGAAAAACTGCTAAAACAATATCATAATATTAAGAATTTTGAATGTCAAGGCTAGGAACAAGGGAAAAAGAAGAGCTAGATGCCAACAATACTAACCTATTTTTCTGTTTTCTTTTTTATTGAATTGATTGGGGTGATACTGGTTAATAAAATGATATCGGTTCCAGGTGTACAGTCCTATAATACATTAGGTTTCAGGTGTACAGTTCTATAATACATCATCTGTATATCGTATTGTGTGTTCACCACCTCAAGTCAAGTCTCCTTTCATCACCATCTTTGAACATAACTTTACACCAAGGTAAGAAATGATCTCAAACTGACCTCATTATGAGAATTCTTTTAATACATATTTTTGTAGTGCATCAAAATAAAGATTTATCTGTTTTTCAGAAAAGTATAAACTCAAGGTCTTGAAAGGCTTCACTTACTTTACAGAATATGTTTTGTATGTAAACAAAATAAATTTTAATTTACATATTCTATTTCCAGAAAATATTTTTGGGTGTTTTTAAAGTATAAACTTCTGGGTGGTTGAAATAACATACTTTTAAAAAAAGAGATGCTATAAGTTGTATTTATTACATTAGGTGGAATTAATTATACGACAAATTCTAGCATTCGGCAATACAGTCCCATGGACTTGACGAAGTTCTGTAACCTCCCCAAACTTAGATTTTGTGTATCGGTTTGCTAATGGAGGCCAAGGACAAGCTGGGCCTGACACATGGAATGAGCACCTCCTGATGAACTTGAACAACGACTTACCAAGATGATGAACAATATACCTTGATATAATGTGAAAAGTTCTACCATACTGCTAAATTCTCAAATGTAACACACAATTTTCACTTGAGCTACTTCAGAGACTAAAAGTGTGGGAACTTATCACTAGTCAGTAATTCTTCAGGTAGAACTCCCCTATGTGAGTTGAATTTGGATATTCAGTGAAAACTTAGTGTCACTTACCCTATTCCTGAACCTAGCATTTTATCGGAGTCACCAGGGAAGATTTTTTTATTTAAAAGTAAATGAAAAACAGATTCTAGGGCCATACCCCAGACCTGCTCTCTATCCAGGTGAGTGCAGACTCCTCAGTAGAGGGATCCAAGAGAAGCTATTACTTTAAAATTGGCACAGATGATTCTAAAGTAACTAGTCTGCAAGTTGATATTTGGCGGTCACCGATATAGCTGGCCTATTTATAAATAATTATGGCTCTTTGCAATTCACTGTCTGTTGGAAGCCAGTTGCCATGTTGGTAGGCTGTTCAGAAAAACATCCACTATAAAATGTTATTGGAAAGAGTCTTAAGTAGCAAAGAATTTATTTTCAGAGAATCAATACCTAGACCTGTGCATGCTTTGCAGAAACTCCAGGATGGTTGCCTTGGGTTTAAATTGAGTTCTGGAGGATTGAGATTTTCATTTAAAATTCTCAAGCTCCATAACCATTTTACCCAGATGAAAAAAGTTCAAAACAGGATATAAAAATCCATGTATTGATCCCAGCTTTACAAAAAAAATAAAAGATTGCAAACCAAATATATAGATTCTTTACTTTTAGTTCCAGAGTTTTAGAGTTTTAAAAGAAAGACTCTCTCCCTTACACTTTGCTTTGCTTCGTGTTTGGACAGCTCACTGGTCAAAAAGCTTCCAGTAAATTAAGAGACAAATGCCAAGCAGATACTGATATGCAGATTTGTTGGGAACCGCCCTGCTTTGTTTCAGAAGCTGTAACCTGCCATGGCTAAGGCTGAGTGAGCAATCTTGGGACCATAAACCACTAAGGAGACAAGGCTTATCTCCCTGGCAGGGGCACCGCCTCTGCCCCTTTTACTTCACCCTGCGTGGCCCCCAATGCTTGATCAGTTAGCCAGTGATGGGTCGGATTCCTCAAGGGATGGATGACCTAAGATAGGCATGATCACAGGGAGCCCCAGGGAAGACTTGGGGGGCTATTGAAAAAGGGAAGCAATGGACCCTCACCCCTTGGCTTTGACATAGCCTGAGTCCTCATTCTGTCTGCAATTAAGTCTCCTAATCTCTTGGCTGCCTTACTTCCCCTGCCTGACTTAAGCCTGAAACAATGACAGAGGGCGGTGCAGCCCTGTGCTGGAAAGGGCGGGTTCCCCAGGGTTTGCAGGCCTAAGAAAGAATGCACAAAATCCTGTGAAAACTGCTTTGCTAAGAATGCTCTCAATTAAATAATAAGGGTCTGAGCAGGAAATGAGTTTGTTTCCCAAAGTTTTATAGCCCTTTACCTAACAGACCCTGACTCAGAATAAGCCCTCATAGTTCTTTGTATGTTTATTATCTGATCCTTACTGCCTGACAATGATGATTGATGAGCTTTACCTGTATTCCTGTACAAACTGAACCCAGTAAAAGCCCATTGAGGAAAAGGCTCTTGGCCCTTCTTCTCTGAGAGCTCAGCCACCTTTCCTCACCAAACAGATCATGTCTTGGTAGACTTATTCTCATCCATGGTGGCCAGGGGGGGCCTGCGGGTGGAGCCCCCACACAGATTTACACAGGAGTACACGCCCTGAAATTAACTGCAGAATACCAACTCAGGTGTAACTTCAGCTGGTCCCTTTAGCATTTCCCCCACTGAGCTTGGGATGATACACTTTTGCAGTGTGTCATCCTACTTTTGAAAATTGGCAAAAGCATATTTTCATAGTACAAGTCAACACCACTTTAGCAATTTCAGTGCTCAGAACAACCCATTTTATTGTATCTGAATAACCTGTTAGTGCATACAAAGATGGAATCACACAGCAGGAGCAGCATGTACATAGTACGGGAGGTTCAGGAAAGTGGGTCTGGTTTTTCCTATTAAGACACTGATTTATTCAGAATATACACAGTGCTGCAAAAAGTTATAGGCCAATGGTGCACAAAGTCATTTAAGTCGATCAACAGCTTTACAAAAAAATAAAAGATTGTAAACCAAATATACAGATTCTTTACTTTTAGTTCCAGAGTTTTAGAGTTTTAAAAGAAAGACTTTGGATATTCAGTGAAAATATCCAAAAGGTTTGTCTATAAATGTATATGCCAGACTGTTATAAACTCTTTAAACAAACTCTTTAAACATCAAAAGATTATTCCTCCATGGGTCTTTTTATATTAAAGTTTTGGTTTAACAAGTTTTGTTTAAAATACCTTCTTCCTTTAAAAAAAAAATAAGTACCTAAAATGCCTTGTTACTGATCATAGAAATTTAATTTCTCTAAATGAACGTTCAACCCAATGCATTAGAACATCACAGGCCTTAAGAATGAATGGAATGATAGGTGTATTAGAGCCAAAAGTTAGTACTTGGTCCTAGACTTACGACAAGGAAGTGGTGCCTTTAAAGAGTAGTGTCTTTTGGAATCAAAACACACAATTTGCCAGAGAAAAAGCAAATACATCTTAAACATTTACCCCACAGCAAAAATGAAATTTCTGTTTTTGAACTATTCACCAGTTTTTGTCACCTTTGCACCTAACTCACGTAGCTTTCTAGTAATTTGTTCACCTTATGGGGGACGTTTATTGTCTCTCTACCATTAATCCTCAAATCAATAGAAGAAATCTCGATCTTGGGGGAAAATTAATAATCATATTTCTTCTAGAAGTCCCACTCAGCAAACAGGTGGGCAAATGATCTGCACCCCCAGAGACCGAAGGGACTATCAACAAGGAAAACAGACAACAAGGCAAACACAGCAAAATGACAGCCAACTCCAGTTTCGCATTTAGATTGCAGAGGTTTACAGGCACTGGGGGGACACCAAAGGTGAAAAAAAACCTGAAGGAGGATCTGACCCTTGCCATATACCCACTCGTGACAGTCACGGAGTTATGTGCTGTCACACGTCTTTCCACGCCAAGGGCTATGAAACAAGAGTACCGGGAACTGACAAACACATGAAGTTAAATTAAAAAGGGAAAGCCTGCCTCCCGATGCTTTGCCAGTAAAAAAAAAAAAAAGTCAGTAAAACTTCTGCTGAACTCTCAGCTCTGCGTCAGAATGAGCCACGCCGGGCTCCACCTCACAGGTGTTTCATTCGGCGTGCCACCTGGCAAAGATGCCCCAACACACACAAGTAAGCACACCCGCCCGGTCCAGAAAGCATGTGTTTCACCGGGTCATCGGAGTTAGCCTCTGCTCCGGTTGCCAGGGGGAAAAGTCAGAAAATAGTCTGTCTTAGTCAGGAAAAGCGAGTGCAGCCTGCAGGAAGCGATGTGAAGGAATTCGGGACCCTGCCAACGGGGGACACGGTGCTCAGGTAGTTCGCCTACCCAAACAGAAATCAGAAAACTTGCTGCAGCCTCTGCCATTGCATTCACTCCTTGAAAACGAACTACCCTTTGCTTTCCGGGAGAGCGCACGCCGGCTCCACAGACACACCCCCTCCCCGAGGAGCAGCCGCACTCACCAAACAGGGACAGGACTCCACAGACTGTCCAGACAATCAGGGACATGCCCACGCTGCCCGTGTTCTGCAGCACACCCTTGGGAGAGATGAAGATTCCCGAGCCAATGATGGTGCCAATGATGATGGAGATGCCCCTCAGCAAGGTGATCTTCTTCTTCAGCACCACTGTCTCCTGCCCGGGGGGCTCCTTGCCCCCCAGGGAAGGCAGCCTCCCGTGAACAGTCCCCTGCAGGTAACCTCCACTGGAGATGGTGGACACAACAGGCTTTCTGACCATTGTAGTGACACACGGTGGGGAAAAGGAAACAGGGGAAAAAGAAAAAGAAAAAACTAAAACTTTCAACTTTGCTGTCTCTTGGTGTGACTGACCAATCTCTTCCTCTTTGCTCTCTGATTGTTTCTCAGTGCAATTGTGTTCACAGGTTAAAAAGAAAAAAGCTCAGAGGTGTATTTTCTCCTTCACAGCTATCTGATTCCTCCTCGGAAACACCTGTGTGTTCCTGGGGCTCTCCGGCTCCTCCACCTCCCCGACTACCTCCGTGCTGTGGCTGCCGCGGCAGCCCTATCATAACAAGCCAGTTCAGCTTCCTTATGGGCCGGTATTTAAGCTCCTGCCTGTCACACCAACTTAATCCGGCTAAATGATGATGCAAATTCTCCAGGTTTGCATCAGCCACAGGAGAAGGCTCCAGCATGACTCAGCTCTTTTTTTTTTTTTTTTAACAGTAGCAGCATGTTGCTCAACTGACCTCAACTTTTCAGAGAACAAAGCATGCCCTTAAAAGAGATCTTAACCAACCCAGAAGCAGTAAACTCAGAACAAACCTTCCCAGAGATCAAAGCAACTCTTAGCCAGGGACAAAAGCCCCCGACCCAAGAAAGAGAATGAAAAATGAAACAGGAAATGACCCCAGCATCGCAGAGTTCCTTTTTTCTTTTACACGCAACTGTTTTGATAATAGAATGAAAACCAGAAGTGCAGTGTTTATAACAACAAAATTTAGATTTTATAATCTGTTTCCTGCTGGGTTTTTTTTTTTTTAATGTGTTGGGGTTTCCTAGCAACACAGGCAACTTTAATATTTACAAAGCTAAAGTGATCCTGTGTAGCTGCTGTCATGCACATGATAATTGTGAGCCTCCCTCAACATTAAAAGACCAAAATTATTTCTTACTGCCAACAATAAACCGGTATTTAAAAATCACCATCTGAGTGGGACAAGTTTTAGAAAATACTCATTGGAATGAGCACTGGGAAATACTCACGGTCTGATTCTCCTTAGTACTAGGTGATCTCCTAAACTAAGTAAAAGATAAATATTCTTCCTTTGCATGCTAACCCACTGACTTACTTAAAAACTAATTTAAAAATAAACAATAATTGCAATGACATAAAAACATGCATACAGCAAAAGCTTGAAAAGAAAGACTCAGTAGTTTGGAATGTAATGATATTGTGCACCGTTCTTTTTCTACAGTGTACGAACTATTGTTATATTATAATTATAAATTTGAAATGAATTAGAAACATAAGCTAAGACTAAATTGTTTATTTTGAAACAGTAAGAAAGGCAAAACATTTTTCAACCCTACTCACTCTCTTAAGTGTCCATAAAACAAATACCAAAAGGAAAGAAATCCTGAACATCACGTTTGGCTGTGGTTTAGAGGCTGTGGATTCAGTGAGAGTCGGATGTTACCGTCCCCCTGAAGCTACCCTACACAGGCTATTAAATATGCTTCTGAACGCCAGGACAAAAACCACAAACAAAAAGCCATGTGTGAGAAGCCAGGATGGGGAGGGGTTCAGGATGACACAAGGAGGGAACAGCCACCAGGAAAGCAGCAGGGGGAAGGTCAGAACTAGTTTGTTACATTGCCCCTGGGAAAATTATGCCACATCAGTAGGCTACCATCCAAATAATGGAGGCTCCATCATTACCTTTTTGTATTGCCTCCCTGACACTACGTAATTTGCTGTCAGTAGACCAAGTCAGGGTTTTTCTACAGCCAAAATAAAGACTTCTACCCAGCTGTTGTGTCTTCTAAAAAAACAAAAATGTGTTATTGTTTTTTTTTTATTCAATCTTGTTGGAAGTTTCTGAAAAGAAAACTAAAGAAAGATTGTTCTTCTATCTCTTTTCCACCCCCTCCAAGTCCTTCCACTCGCAAAATTCTCCTGAAGAGTGAACATAATGGAGAGAGGAGAGGCCTTCATTTCCCCAAAGGGGGAACGTGTCAGCTCTGAAGAAATATGAGTTGAAGGTAGAACATTCAGCATCCCGGACAACAACACTCCATCTCTAACTAGCACAGAGTCACACTGTAATTTGGCATTTTGTACCAAATGAGCGAATTTATAAACTGAGACCAAGACCTCACTCAGAGAGGAAGTTAAATAAATTCTAAAAAAGGAAAAAATATTCTTCCAATATCAAATAACATTCTCCTCCTTCATACTATTCTTAAAAAATCTATGACGAAAAATCACTCGTTAGACTAATGGTCAAAAAGAATTGTACCAAAATATGAGTCAGAGTCACACTCAAAAATTCCGGAAAAAAAAAAAAAAACTTCTGCAAAGCTGCATGTACTTACTGAAGATACTAATAACCCTCTTCTAATCACAAAAAAATGGGCAGAAAATGCAGGCTACAAAGAAAATGCAGGTTATTTTCGGTGTTAACAAACCCTTATAACAAATAGTTCTAAACATATAAACTAAGAATCTGGATGGTCTTCAAATACGCATGTACCATAAAAATAAGTTCCAAGCAAATGCATTTCTATTCCTCCTCCTGCTTTCAGCCTTATTTTAAACTCTCCCTCCAAAGTAGAGGAGACTATTCTACTGCTATTTACAAATATGAATTCAGTGCTTACTGTGCACAAGGAATAATCCCAGCTCCTTAAATGCATCTCATGGAAGAAACAGATGTGATATACTACGGTAGCTTCCCCTCTGTGGTAAATTATTTTTACCCCATGATTATAAATATGAGCATATAATAACCTGACCAAAAAATAATCATCTTCCTGGTTGCAAGGCATAGAAATGTGACCTGAGCTGGGATATTTCTAAGCAGAATTAGATTTTATCTTCTCTCATCTGTTGGAAGTGGTAGAGATGTGACTCCAGAACAGCTGGGGGCCTTGTCCTTGTCATGTTGAAAAATGCTCATGAAATAAATTGAAACTATACAGAGATGAGAGACAGAAAATGCCAGCGTCATCAAGCCCTTGTTTTAGTTCCTAAGGGATCCAGATTGGTTGTGGATCCTAAAGATCGTCCTTCATTTCTATAAACTACTTCATTTCCTTGCTAGGTATGCTACCTCATGCCCACACAAAACAACGGCACGTGAATGGTAGAGCTCAGTACAACTGGAATGTCATTTAAAGCTCCTAAACTGGGTCGATGAGACACATGACCATTAGACACACGTGGTTACCAGCAGTAAAATGCAGCTTGTTCAGACTGGGATGTGCTATAAGTGAACAAAATCCACTGAAATTTGAAATCTTATTTTTAAAGAAAGAAGAAGAAATATCTCCTTAATAATTTTTTTTATTTATATCGATTCTACCCATTTCATTCTGTTTTTTAAGGTGGCTACTTAAAAATTCAATTATATGCCTGGTTTGGAACTGTGGTTCACGTTATATTTCTGTGGACAGCTCTGATCTAGAAGAGAGTAGATATATTCCTCAACTTGGTAAAAGCAGGGGTTTCCTAAAAGGGACAGACAAATCACTAACCATATATAAGGATACATTAGAATATATTAAAGTTGAGAATTTCCACTCACCAAAGCACATGATTAAGAGACTGTAAAAGTGAACCATGAGATGAGAGAGAGTATTTGCAGCTGGCAAAGATCTCGTATCCAGAATAAATTAATTACTACACATCAAGAGGAAAAAGCACAATGAAAAACAGGCAAAAAAACTTTAATAAATGCTTTGATAAAATGTCTAAAACATTTGTTGAAACAAAAACAACTGCTCAACAGTATTGGTCACGAGGGCAATGAAAACTAAAACCACCATGAGATATTCATCGCCACCATCACGGTGGCTTATTTGAGAAACACCAACAGGACCAGGAGTGATAAAAATGGGGAACAACTAGAACTCACATTCTGCTGCTGGGAGTGTTACTTGTTGCATGTTTATGCAAAGTCGTTTAGTAGTATCTACTAAGTTAAACACACATACACCCTTTGACCAATAAATCCCATGCCTAGGGACATGCCCAATAAAAATGCAAGACATCCACATACTGGAAGGTGTGCATGAGAATACTGATGTTGGCCATTATTTATACCAGCCAACGCTGAGAGTAATGCAAATGTCCATAAACAGTAGACTGAATACATGTATTGGCGGCCTAAATAATAAAGAGCAAACTTTTAAAAACCTTAAGGAATGTATAAAAGTAAATTTTATGTCAGCAGATAATGCAATATTTCTTAAAAAACATACATGTACATGGCTTACCTAATAAGTTCCTTGCCCAATAAGTTCTCTGTTGTAAAAGAACTTACCACAGAGTCACCTAATAATAATAATGGTCTTCTTTGACTACCAGACATACAATACTAACCCCCATAGTAAACGCTTGACATTTTCTACATTACTACCCTGTTTTGTTTTTCATCACAGCAATTATTACCACTGCTGAGATGGGGGAAGGGACTTTATTGAATTCACTCTCTTATCCCCAAGACGCAGTGCCCAGCACATGGTATTCTCTCAGTAATGTTTGTAGAATAATAAAAATATAAAAACCAACTAAGACAAGTATTTATGAATTTACCAGAATGAAAATTCTTCTGTTCATTAAAAATCACCATAACTATAGAAAGAGACTATATCTGAAAGATATCTATATTTCTCATAGGAGAAAGACTTAAAGTCCTGGATACATAAAGATATATGTGCAAATCTATAAGAAAAATAATTTCAGACAGAAAGGTTTTAATCAGACTATTCATAGAGAATAAAGCTTCACTGGCAGAAAACATGTAAATGTGTACCTCATTAAGGTATACCAACACTTTCTTGACAAATGACAATAATAAACTTGATTGAAAGACCAGCACCACTTGGGAAAGTCAAGTGAGTTTACCTACTTAAAGCACAGAGAAAGAAGCAAGTGCTTTCAAGATATACCTCAGAGGTCTCAGTTACATTCTTGAGCACAGATGGAGGTTCAAATTCACCAGTTGCAAACCATAACACATGAATGAGATGATTAAGGTCCCCCTAGCTTTCTGTTAGCATGACATATGCTCTCTAGATCTAGCCTGACATAAATAATTCTGGAGCAATCCTGCATGTCAGCTCATCTGGGGAAATGCCAGGACCACCTCATCTGGGCCAAGTTTATCTATCAGTCTCAGAAATGTACCATCTGCAGTTTGATTACAAATTACCCTATGTTATGCCTAGACATGAACAAACCTTCTCATCCAGTGACCCCAGGCTAACATAGTCTAATCCAAAACAGAATCAGAAGAAAAAATACACACTCTTCCTAAACAGATATGAAATAGTAACC